GCCTCTCAATTTACACAAAATTGAAGAACACAACAGATACTCCACCAAACCTCGCAGCGGACCGTTTTGTCAGTTGGGGCTGTCTCTCCCCACACAGCTCATTTTACCTCATTCTAACTTGTTTTTGCAATGTGTTTTTGCTCACTAAAGCACTGGCCATAGCCCTTGCCCTGTTTGGAGCACTGCGGCTCGGACGGCTTAGCGAAGCACTGACAGCATTGAGACAGCATGTCGTTGCGATTCGTTAGACCTTTCTGAATTCCTTATAAAGCCTTAAAATTAGACCAAACATAGTAAATACACATGCTCTATTTCCCTGCTAAGCGTATGACCTGCATTCATTATAATAGTGTAGGTCATTTTAATATTTTGAATTTTATACTAGGATAGGGTATTCACTATTCTAAGTTCAGTGGATATAGGAAATGTTGGGAGTGGTCATTTTCGCTTAAAGATTTGGAATTAGGAAAGGTCGTCGTAAGCGGGGGAGCGGGGGTTCCCCAAGATTTCGATCGGAGAAAATCCCAACAAGCACTAACAATCATCAAGTTGTAAAGCATAACCGGCCTTACGAAAGATATTAATCAGATCCAACAAGTCTTCACTTGGGATAATTTTTTGCATTAGAAAATTTGGAATTTGAGAATAGAAGGGTATATTGCAACCAAGACGGGGGATGTTTTGTACAGAGAGTAGGTCCATATTATAATCAATAAAAGATAAATGTGGTATATTAAATATAAGCAGAATTGATTTCTTTCTTTTGGAAGAGACGTCAGGGTATAACAAATGACTGCAATAAAGGACTGGCTGCATGATGGGAATTCAGTCCTCACACATATGCATTTTCAAAGCTCTTTAATGAGGGGAAGATGTGCGCGCCAGGCGTGACAAACAAAATACAAATCAGATGCAGAAAGATGACGGATATCGACAAAAGAGAGAGAGAGAAACAGATTAACCGATATTCAAAACAACATCAACTATCAAACCCTATCCGGCTCTATCCAAACTGTTTGGCCAATTTTTATTTTTGCGATACACATCGCTGTTACATTCATCTTTAATAACCATTTGTCACAATAGCAATTAAATAAAAGTCTGATCCATATCGGCAGCATTTCCCGTTAAAACATCTCGTAGGCCATCACGACAGCTGTTATTCTAGGTAGCCTTGTCCAGAATGATGAAAGTGGCTGCAGAAGCTGTAACATCATCTACATCTGTCCCCTTCAGGCCGGTTTTCTATTTCTAGTATAGCGCTAGCCTAACACACTGTCCGCCAATGGATATGACTGGAGGTGATTGGAGGAGGTTTAGAGAAGAGGACAGGAATATTTATCCCAGAGCCACACATTAGGAATCCTCTTCTTGCTGTTAAGCGTTTGATCGTCTCATTGTATATCCTTGAATTGGAATCCTTTATACTCAGAGCCTATATTAGTTCACCTTATTTGGTATGAGTACAGTTCGGTGCGCGTATGTTTGTAGAGAACAACCATCATAGGACACGAATATGTCTCATCTTAGCATGAACAGCGCGTGAGAGACCTAAAACTACATCTTACACATGCCGCTTTCGTGCCAGTAGCCAGGTAAGTAGCTACACTCCGACACATCGACGACTGTAGGATGTTTTACGCGCGCTACACACTAGTAGACACGTGAACCCATTACATTCCTGTTTGTATCTAGAATGATTCGCAGTGCCAATCTTACCTTAATTCCTCCTTCTCAGGGCGTCACCTGTCTATAACACATGCCATCGTGATGCGTAACTTACCATAGGTGTGCAGAGGACACGGATGAGGAGGGACAGGGCTGTAACTACCATAATACCAACCCACGTCTGCTTACAGTTCGTAAGGTTCCAGAACTTCCAAGCCCTTATATATGACTTTGGAGAAAGGCGCAGAGACATATTGTTTTAAGGGTTACCGCGGGAGGTTCCTTACATTCGAGATAAACAAGACTCAACACTTACAATCATCACAGACTGGTATTGTAAAGGACAGCTGCTGGTGCCACAATGAGGTAGCGGGAGGGTTGGTTATTATGTTGTGCTAGGCTACAGACGAACAGTTATACTGCCCCGTCGATTGTAATATCTTGAGAGCTGTATATTAAAGGCTTACGCATCAATGGTAGATTAAATATGAAATATGGGTTATTAACAAGGTGACATTATGTGATCCACACAGCGTACACATGTGTTTGTATCATGGTGTTGGTAGGTGAAGAGACATAGCAAAACAAGTGTTCTTTGAGCTCTGTCTGTCGAGATTGTTTGTGTGGTGGCACGTTGTGTAGCAACGAAGTTGTGTTTGTGTGGGCAATAACTGAGAACCAGCGCGAGTCACACAAACCGCGAGACGAATAGTGAGAGCGAGTAAAAGATTTTAGAGAACCGAAAGGTCGATTTCAAAAGTCTCCTTCACATCCACACAAACACGTGCTCAAGAAACGGTCCGTCCACGACGAAAATGCGAACAGAGACGGCTTGTAGTTACATATGCGGCCCTGTAAGTGCGCTGTACTTCAGCCACAAAATACAACCCCAAAGCAACGAAGAAGAACCCCCCAGAGCATGGTTTGCCCATGTTGGCCTGGTTGCCCTTCTGGTTATTCCTCCGCCGGTTTGATTTCAACATGTAGTTCATGGGTAGTCTCCATTTCCACTTGCTTGGCTGATGGTTGTGGTAGAGGCTACGATGTTGCCCAGCTAACATCTGTATCAAGGTCAGTAGCGGTCTGGAGCACAAACGCAACCTGTGATCCGCCCATTGTTGTTGTTGTTGGTGGAAACGCATCAGCAATGACGTGGGTGACGCGGGGTGAGCCAGCGAGAGGTGGGAGAAGGCGGGCTATGGCGTCATCGTTTCAATAAATTATCGTATAGGCCATGGACATATACACGGGGCCGCAACGCGTTTCGTCTCCAGATTTACCCACTTTGGCGAGCCGTTTATCAGATTCGGGCTCGAAGCCGCAAGTTTTCGTTTCGGCCTTACGTGTGGGAGATACCCGTCTAAACCGCTGTGTCCACGCCACAAACTCAAGGCGCCGGACCAACAATAACAGGCCCTTTGTGGATTTAATTTCGCCCCGGCGAGCACCTAATTACTACTTCAGATCTCTGGCCGCGCCGGCAATCATTGCACGGCACACCTTCACTCCACTTGAGGATTTCCTCAGCTCAGAGCCTGACCCCAAACATTGATGAACTTGCACCGAAGATGAGATGCCAAGTGTCTGGCTTGAGAATCACAGATACCTCATTCACACCAACGGTGTTTAAGGGCCGGTTCGGAGCTGGAGCTTGAAAAGCACCGGGTTTTCCTCTTCACACCGCAGCGGAGCAGCCTCTTAGCTCCGGAATCCGGTTCATTTCGAGCACCAAAAAATTGTCCGGCCAGAGCAAAAGCACCACATACGTCACGCTTACGTCGAGGCGGGGGCAGGGGCAGGGGCAGGGGCGGGATCAACTCCTGAACAACAACAAAAAGCCGGCGTTTTATCCAGTTTGTACACAACGATGGAGAAACTTAACAAGCAGCAGTGGTCCACTGAAGAGACCAGCTAACTACTGGGAATCTGGTCTTCCGAAGAGGTACAGAGGAAGCTGGAGCACAATCGGCCATTGTTGTTGTTGTCGGTGTCAGCTGTGAGGGGTTTCCGCGCGGCTTGGCTTTATGAAGCAGGCACGCAAACGGTTACGTCATGACGCAAACGATGACGCAATGACGCAGCACCAGTCGGACTCTGGGCGGTGTGAAAAGAGCCGGAGCTAAACCGAAGGACCGGTTCTGAACCTGAAAAGCTCTAGCACGGAGCTTGAACCGGAGTTGCGTTGGTGTGAATGAGGTATGTCTGGTGAACATAGTGGAGTATGTACCAGCTAAAGAGCCAGATATTATATCTATGATAATGAGTGTTGTAGTTTATTAGGTTGCCACAATCTCTCCATGAATGCTTGTGTTGCTTTGTATTTACATGCAATAAGAAACTGTTGTTGTGATGTTTTGCCGGAACAACTTTCTAAAGTTTCTCAAGGTTATATACTCAGCTGGTAAGAGTAACAAATTAGTTTCACAACCTATTTTTGCTAGAGCTGCTGCTCTACTGAACTCCTCAATACCTCAGTGTTGTTACTTGAAACCACAGATGGAACGGTAAAATAGCAGTAACTCTCAAAATAGCTGTCATGCTAATATGATTCTGTTTTTGAGGTTTTTCTTGAGGAAGGAATGGTGCTCCAGAAGCATACATAAGATGTTATTCTTGCATTTCTTTCAGAACGTATAACCCAGAAACTGCTTTCCAACTTCCTGTCTCGTTCCCAGGTTTAGCCCGTACGAGTGGTACGACGCCCATCCCTGCAACCCAGGATCAGATGTGGTGGAGAACAACTTCACCCTCTTCAACAGCTTCTGGTTTGGAGTCGGCTCCTTAATGCAACAAGGTACTGCGGCACACACATCCTCTTCCCTGTCAGAAACAATACCGTCACACCACCTCACTTTTCCGCTTGCTCCCTTTTCTCTGCCTCTTTAACTGACAAGCTCCATGATTTCCATTCCCTGACTGTTTCATAAGACATTTACCTGTCAAGAACAACAGCAGAGCTCAGACTTACATGACAAAGGAAGGCTGTTGTCACCTACCTGCTGTTTAAAATGGGAAGAGTAGGTGCCAGGCACTTGTCAGAGATTGTCAGGTAAGGACGGAAAACATTGCTGCATTTCTTTTCCCATAAGGCAGTCACTGGCCCTATTCAAGAGCTTTCTAAGGGTTGGGACGCAAAGGGTAAGTTGAGGAACATGTTTGACAAATGCCAGCTGTCAGCCACGGTAGAGCGCTCTGGTGTGATATTTCAGCGCTGTACGACTTGCTCGCTGTAGAAAATCCATATGCCTCATTGTCCAACAAGTAGCCTACCAAATAAATGTCACATCAATGTAACATTTTGAAACCAGTCAAAACAGGAAGTGACTGCTTCTTTTAGCACGCAGGTTCAATCTTTATCACTAGACCTGCTACCACTGCAGATTTAATTCTACAAATAGATCTTCACTTGTCTGGTGTCGCTTAAAGGACTTGAGTAAACTAATGAAGGCCCAGACATGACATAATGAAGTCAACTGTGGGGGGAAAGAGTCCCGAGTAATAAAATGCTTAACCTCAAAGTAATAAGGCAAATCAAGGAGGCTCGGTAGTGGATCTTTGCCCGTAAGGATAGCAAACACATTGAGCAATTCATTAAGGGAGCATGGCAGCACTCTTATAAAAATGCATAGCAGCGCCGACAAATTACCCGTGCAGGCAGAGATCTGCAACTGTAGCTTCAGGATGCCAGGAGGGAAAAGATGGAATCAAATCAAAATAAACTAGTTAGTAGTCTGTATTATTCCAGCTAAACTGCGGAGAATTCCCTATTATAATTTGTATCATGCTCACCAGGGCTCTCTGTCAAAGCCTGAGCTCTAGTGTGACTCATATGTGGAGGTTACTGCAATTAAACACAAGTCCCTGCACAGGAATGTGGGAGTTATGTTAAAATGTGTCACACAATGCTTGATAGATAAAGAAAATGTTAGTACATATCATGATCACAAAAAAAAAATGGTGTCCCTCAACTGTGATCTCAATGTTCATTTTAAAGCACAGTAAAATGTGTAATTCAATCACAATTACACGAAGAAAAATATTGTTTTTTTCTTTGTTATAGTTGCCTGAATAAAGAGGTTTGAATTGGGATATTGAAATACACTTATAGTTCATGTTTGAGTTCTGTTGCAGGTTTATCGTCATTATGATACATGTATATATGAGGCACTTTTTGCAAACGTTTTTTTTGTAATTTTTTATTTATGTGGGGTTACATTATACTAAAAGTACAGTTTTGCAAATCATATATTTTTAGAGATCCGAAAATGGCAAATTAAATACCGAATAAAATGTGTAAAATAAAATGAGAACGCAAAACTGTTTCTACATGTTTTTTAAACTAAGTATTGTGAAAAAAGGATTTTGTTAATAATCCTCTACATATACCTTCTAAGAGTTTAAAATGGACAGACTGACTCTGGCTTTGGGCGACACCCATTTGGGCTGCAGCAGCGAGGAATATGTTGTCTGTGTCACATAAACAGACATCCTCCGCTTGTCTGCCAAACACAGTGACAGAAGCTGAGATGGAAGCCATTTCTTTGACATGTTTAAAATGCAAATGGACGTCTTTGAGGAGATCCAAAAAAAAAAATCTACCAGCTTGTCTGTGGGAGGAAGGTGTCATCGCCAAGACAAAGGAGGCAAAATATGAGGAGGTGCAGAAGCAAACACTTTGTGTACTTCAAATGCCTTCCTGGGGGTCTCAGTAGGCTGTTGCTCACAACAAACATATGTCTGATCATTTTGTGTAAAATTGGTTTCCCCACATAAAATAATTTTAGAAAGTGTCTTTGATTTACAAGTTGACTTATTCCAAATGTTCTTGATTTTCTAGAACATATTTCGTCTCAATATTTCCAAGATGCATGGTCTGAGGCATAACAACATTGTGTTTGTTATGCAAAAGCTAATCTGTGCTGACTTGTTGTCTCTGATTAAGAAACTGCAGTTGTGACTTTGCCCCTTTTTGAGATTAAGATCAAGATTTACTTGCAATTGAATAAACATTTCCATTCACAAGTGTCATTATTTAAAAGCAATTAACAACAAGTAGAAGCCTCAAGCAAGGAAAGAGGGTTTTTGTTGCTATGACTTCACACAGGGAATGCTAAGTGCAGGTAATCATTCTCATGGGAAGGTGTAGCTCTCTCGTGGTAAGGTGAGGCATTGCTAGTGGGGGAAGACACTACAGGAAACCAGGACATCGTGTGTGGAACAATGCACTTCTAAATCTACAGGGAACTGATTTCTTCTTTGTCAGACTGACTGATTCAAAAGCATCATTAGGTACAAGATCATCTGTGAATGTATTCAAAAGGGAGAATTGCAGTCACAGTGACTTCTTTATGGGCTTTTTTAAATAAATGTATTTGCATGGATATAGACATTGTGTTTCCATTATACTTACATTAACTTCCTTATTGAATATAGTCAGTATTCAGATATGTCGCAAAAAATACTGACACAAAAAAAATAGTTTTAAATGCAGCCTCAGTCGATATAAGGTTTAAAAACGATGGGGTTTCGTCTAATGCTGGTTAATTTAAGCATTACAGAGAAAAACTGTTGAAATAAACTGAAATAGAAATTGCCCAAAATCATGTTTCACATCGATGCATAAATCATACTGTACGACTGAACAGATCTAAAAGGAGTTAAAAATGTAACAGGATCATTTTTAAATCAGACCTTAACTAAAAGAATATTTCCATTTAAATTCAAATCTACTTTTTTATATATTCAAAAAAGAAGCTCCCTAAAAGCACTTTGAAGCAAGTGAACATTGAGTTAAGATTTTGTGAAATGCCTTTCTAAGCCATCTCATGAGAGATTAGGTTTTTATAAATACTGACTAAAAGGATGGGGAGGTTTCGTACCACCCCTATAATAAGAGTGAAAGCCTGAGTAGGCATACCTCATATTAAAAATGTTTGTATTTTAAGTAAAAAATGTACAACATGACATTAAAGCAATGGTTGTTACTTACTGCAGGATGTTTATAGTTGTTTTGGTGGATAAGCTCATTAGCATATGGAGCTAACAATATACTTCATTGCTTGTTTTCCATTTCCAACTAATATTTTGTATGCTCTAGAGTGCCTTTCAAAAAAGCTCAATTTTAGGAATATGCTTATTGACTTTTTTTTCTGATAGTTATAGGAGAAGAATAAGCACTCTCATAGCTGTCAGGTAATGCAAAGTGTGTACCAGCAGTCATTAGCTTAGCCATTTTGTTAATCCAACAGTTTTTGCCTTGTATATTTATCAGTGACCTTTTGAAGCTCTCTTTATTCAAACAACATGGCATAATAAAGCTTTATTATTTGTGATTAATAGTACATTTATTTACCTAGTCACAATATTAAAAAGGTCTATTTTTAACACAAATCCCACAAAGAAACCTAACCTTCATTGTTTTGTGTATTCTATGTATAGATTTTCTTTGAGGCTTCTATTTACTGCATTAATGTGAATGAGCAGTGCAGCAGTCAGGGAGATGGATGTGATGTTTGGGTTACTGAAATAGTATCAGTGCCGCCTCCCTCAAACATTTATTTCCTTAGTTTACAATATATGTCAAAAGAATGCACGGCATATTGACACCATTTTATTTCCCTGGCACCACATGGCTGATCTGCTTTTTATATTTATTAGTCCTCTGATGCCGCATATACTGTTCCCTGCTGACAACAGCACTTTATAGTCTGGTATTCAATTGAATTACCCCTCGCTTCACTTTTTTGTGCAACCAGAGAATGCATCTTGATCCTCCCCTTTGTGAAGTCATAGTGAATTAAGAGATACAACTGTCTTCCCTTGTCTGCAACCATGAGAGTCTTTGTCAAACCACAAAGGACATATCCAATCAAATTTGGTAGAAGAGGTTAAAGAGCGGACCAATCTGCCCCCCC